TAGGAAATTTCTAGAAGATGCCATAGAAAATCCTTATGACCAGGAGCCTGCGCTGTGGCACAGTAGGCTAAGCCTCTGCCCGCGGTGCTGGCAAACCATATGGGCGCCAGTTTGTGTCCCTGCTGCTCCTCTTCCAACCCAGTTCTCTGCTATGGCCTGGGAAAGCAATGGAAGATGGCCCAAGTGCTTGGGTTCCTGCACCCGCATGGGAGACCCAGAAGCTGCTCCGGGCTCCTGGCTTTGGATCAGCCTAGCTCTGGCCATTGTGGCCACTTGGGGAGTGAACCAGAGGGTGGAAGACCTTTCTCTCTGCCTCTCAAGTAAATAAATCAAAAAATCTTTAAAAAAATTCTTTATGACCTTGAGTTTGACAAAAATTTTTATATAACCTTGAAAGCATGATCCATGAAAGGAAAAATAAAAACTTCTGCTTTGTGCAAAATACTGTTCAGATAATGAAAAGACAAGCCTCAGACTAGGAGAAAATATTTGCAAAGCACTGCTGATGAAGGAACAGTCCAAACTATACAAAGAATCCTTAGAATGCAACAATCAGAAAACAATCCAATCAGAAAACTGTCAAATGGATAGAAGTTCTGAATAAATACCTTATCAAAGATATGATATGTAAACATATTAAAAGACATTCAGCATCATAAATCATTAGGAATCGCACACCTATTAGAACAATTAAAATCCAAAACACTGACAATGCCAAATGCTGGTGACAATCTGGAGAAATAAAAACTCTCATTTACTGCTGGGAGGAAAGCAAAATGCTGTCGGCACATTGGCAGGCAGCAGGCAGTGCCTTAGGAAGCCAAACAAAGTCTTACCAGGCTCCTAGGATTTCAGCCAAGTGAAAAACTTATATCCATAGCCACACATACCTGAACACAAACGTTCATTCATAATAGTCAAAAACTAGAAGCAAGCAAGATCCTTCAGAAAATACATGGATAACCAAGCTTTGGTATATCCAGCCTACCTATATAATGGAATGAATAGAAGTGAGCTATGGGGGCCAGCGCTGTAGCGCAGTGGCTTAACGCTCTGGCCTGAAGCACTGGTATCCCATGTGGGCAATGGTTTGAGTCCCGGCTGCTCCACTTCCAATCCAGCTCTCTGCTATGGCCTGGGAAAGTGGTGGAGGATGGCCCAAGTCCTTGGGCCCCTGCACCCTCATGGGAGACCCAGAGGAAGCTCCTGGCTCCTGGCTTTGGATCGGCGCGGCTCCGGCTGTTGCGGCCAACTGGGGAGGGAACCATCAGATGGAAGACCTCTCTCTGTCTCTCTCTCTGCTTCTCCTCTCTCTGTGTAACTCTTTCAAATGAATAAATAAATCCTCTTAAAAAAAATGAGCTATGAAGCCACAGACCAACACGCAGGAACCTGTTACGCAAGCCAGTCTGAAATGGCTGCATACTGTGGTTTCAACGTTTCAACTACATGAAATTCTGGAAAAGGCAAAACTGCAGACAGTACAAAGATCAGCAGTTCCCAGGGGTTGGGAAGAAGGGGGGGATTAAAAGGCCAAGCACAGGGGTTTGGGAAGCAGTGGTATGCTGGCGTATGCACACATGACATCATGCATCTGGCTAACACCACAGTAGAGTGCTGGTGTGTGGCACTGCTTCATCGGCTGTAACAGTTGGACCACACCAATGCTAATGTTAGTAACAGGAGAAACTGTGAGAGGTGGGACACAGCACATAGGAACCCTCTGACTATCTGCTTGATTTTGTATAAACCCCAAACTTCTCTTTTCAAAAAGTCTGTTCACTGGGGCTGGCGTTGTGGCGCAGTGATTGAGCCACCATTTAGCTGCTCCACTTCTGATCCAGCTCCCTGCTAATACACCCGAGAAAAGCAGCGGAAGATGGCCCAAGCGCTTCAGCCCCAGCATCCACGTGGGTGACCTAGATGGAGTTCCTGGCTCTGGGTGTCAGCCTGGCCCAGTCCCAGCTATTGTGGATGGAAGAGCTCTCCTCTCTCTCTCTCTCTGGAACTCTGCTTTTCAAATAAATAAATCATCTTTAAAAATTCTATTAATTGTGGGGCCGGTGCTGTGGTGCAGCAAGTTAACGCCCTGGCCTGAAGCATCAGCATCCATATGGGCGCCAGTTCGGGACTCTGCTGCTCCACTTCCAATCCAGCTCTCTGCTGTGGCCTGGGAAAGCAGTAGAAGATGGCCCACGTCCTTGGGCCCCTGCACCTGTGTGGGAGACCCAGAAGAAGCTCCTGGCTCCTGGCTCCAGATCGGCGCAGTTCCAGCCGGCCGTTGCAGCCAATTGGGGAGTGAACCATCGGATGGAAGACCTCTCTCTCTCTCTCTCTCTCTCTCTCAGATCGGCGCAGCTCCAGTCGGCCATTGCAGCCAATTGGGGAGTGAACCATCGGATGGAAGACCTCTCCCTCTCTCTCTCTCTTTCTGCCTCTCCTCTGTGTAACTCTGGCTTTCAAATAAATAAATAAACCTTTGAAAAATTCTATTAATTTATTTGAAGGTAATTTTGCTGAAGATACACCTTTTCCTAAAGAAAATTTTCAACTTCAATAAAGAAACTGTTCAAATGCAGTCTTCGGTTCCTGTGAAAGAAAGGCAGGCCAGACTCTGGCTTTAGACACAACTGTCTCTCCCACAGGTCGCCACTCACCTCTTTCTGGGAGCTAGGAAGCCTACACCCGATCGGAATCTACGCAGACTGTCTCCGAGGAAGGAAACTGTGACAAGTGACAGGAACAGGAAGGATCTTTATCACATGTTTTACCTTTTAATATGCACACCGTATGTTGCCTGTTCTAAAACCATGCCAGTTTTAAAGAGTGCACCCATGCGGCCCAGTCCACTGTGGTAGGCTGATGACGGCTGAAGGGGCCACGATTTTCCTCCCTTTCTTTGGGTTCCAGTGGAGAAAGAGCACCAGCCCTAGTGGGTTCCCTCTTCTCCAAGCACAAGGCTGCACATGCTGAGGGGGATGAACTAAGACACAGCAAGAGCTAACCTCCACCTGCGCCCAAGCCACCCCAGGAAGGAGAAGGCAAGGGGGCCCAGCTCCACCTGTGTCACACAGAGTTCCTGCTTACAGAGAAGGAAGCTGGAGGATGCAAAACCGAACGGAACAGTCAGCAGTTAAGATGTCAAAGTGACAGTGGGGCCGGCGCCGCGGCTCACTAGGCTAATCCTCCGCCTTGCGGCGGCGCCAGCACACCGGGTTCTAGTCCCGGTTGGGGCGCCGGATTCTGTCCCGGTTGCCCCTCTTCCAGGCCAGCTCTCTGCTGTGGCCCAGGAGTGCAGTGGAGGATGGCCCAAGTGCTTGGGCCCTGCACCCCATGGGAGACCAGGAGGAAGCACCTGGCTCCTGCCATCGGATCAGCGCGATGTGCCAGCCACGGCGGCCATTGGAGGGTGAACCAACAGCAAAGGAAGACCTTTCTCTCTCTCACTGTCCACTCTGTCAAAAAAAAAGAAAGAAAGAAAGAAAGTGACAGTGGAAGGACACTATGGGTCTACAACTGTTTACACTTTAAGAGTCATGATCTGGCTGAGTACTGGGAGGAAGACAATTGAGTGACAACGCCTTCAAAAATTGTGGGTAATGACTACTGTTCAAATGATGGGAAAAGATAAAACAATTCAAGCAATGGGGAAAAAAAAGGAAATAGAACAAAATATTTACACCTGACAAAAATACCCAAAAGTCTTATACATTATAATAAAACTGTTAAACTTTCCTGTTACCCCAAAAAATTTTTTTTCATGTAAAAACAGGCCGGATAACTAAATCTAAGTGTCTAAATCAAAGGTGTGTGCACCTATTAAGTTAGAAAATCTGCTAAGAAAATAAAAAGCAAAATCAGGCAGGGCTATTAATGACAGAACATCCTGCAAGGTGAGAAGCTGAGGGACACTTTATGTTCACACCAGACTTTACTGAGCGAATCTGAATCCCACGGCTTCACAACAGTTACAGCTTAAAATAGAAACACAGGGAACGTTTAAGGCAGGAGCGGACCTAACCCTACTCGCCCCCATCAGCTGGTGTTCTTAGCGGAAAGGGACTTAACTTTTAAGCAAAAAAAAGGAAGGATATGAAGATCTCAGAAACCAGGACCCTTTGCCTGCCGGAGTGAGTACCACAGAGCAGAACAGGCAGACAACCGGGCTGTGCCCCACACGGATGACGTGTGGACAAGAACACAGGTGCCAGTGGCCAGTGGCCTGCGGCCGTCTGGTGCACAGGCTCTTGCTCACAAGCAGTTCCTGAGCCGCCCTGGCCTGCATCAGAGGTGAACACTACGGTACCCAGGTGCACCGTGCACAGCGGATAGCAAGCACAGCCCAGGCCGCAGGCAGGCCTCCTTGGACACCCACTGCCTTCCCCCGACACCTGGGTTCTCAGCGGGAACTCCCCGTACTCCCCAGCCCAGCCGCTGTAAGTAAAAGCAACAATGACTTAGCCATGCCCAAAGATTGGATGTTAAATAAAAGGGGAACCACATCAGTGATTGGCTCATTCCTGGAGAGAGTGTGTTCAATAAATCTGAGAATCATCGACGTATTTTCTGATAAAACTTATATGTTCGCAGATACACAGTAACAATTCCAAACTTGACCTTGAAACATGGGAGAACCGGGAAAAAATGTTTTACGAGATGGCATTTTTCACCATCCCCCACCCCTTGATCAACAGCACATCGTGGCAATCTTACTGACCATTTCCAAAAGTTACCCCCAAAAATGGGTTTTGAGGAAGAAGACACTCATCTGAAAGAACCAGGATGAATCATAAGTAATGGAAAACATCGTCTGTCAACAACAGGTAAGCTACAGGATTGACAGCTGAAAAATACATCAGACAGAATGTCTTCCTTTTATAGCCTCATGAATTTAGTCTAAGTGGGTATTTATTTCCCAACCCACCGTTTGCCAAAGAAATTATAGAAACTGTAAAGCTGAAGAATAAACACTTTAAATAAGAATTCATACTCCAAGGAAGTAAGAATCTTTCAACTTTTATTTCTAGGGTACATTCATCTGGAACCTTTTTGTTTCTTTACAATTTTCCCCCTAAGAGAAATGAATACAATAAAAATATAATCCAACTACCAGCAATGTTTGTAACCAGAAAAGAATCTAAAATCTCTGGTGTGATAATATAGGACTTTTTTTAAAAAATATAAACTTCATACCAGAAATAAAGCCTGAATATTCTCTTTCTTTAAAAATATAATTTTTCCTTCTTTGCTCTTCCATGTAAATATTATAATCAACCAGTTAGTTCTAAAGTCTATTTTTAAACCAGCAATTACAACACTGTGGCAGGGCTGGGTTTTTTCTTCTGTTTTCTATCCTGTTCTATACTGTGAATCAACTAATAATTGCAAGTCTGTTTTTTAAAAGGAGATGCCACTAAGGTTCTAGCAAGATTCTTCAAGAGACACCCATCATAAAAAACAAACAAAACCCACATTAGCAAACTGAAACCTACTTAATAAATGATATTTTATCCTGCTTATGAAACTAGAAAATGGATACAAAGCACTTTTGCGAACTGCAAAGCTCTAATGGAAAACATTTTTTTTAAATCGGCTTTCACTAGAAAGGCTGCTGACTAGCCTATGAGGAACACAAGGCTGTATGAAACCCATCTTTCTCTCTGCAACTCCTAGACGTGGGGGTGAGAGGGTGAGGCATATAAACTGCCAGGAAGCGGTAGTACAGGCACCGGGACAGCTCCCACACACGCTGACTTGCAGGGACATAAGCCTGCTCCTCTGAGCTGAGAATGAAGACCAGGGGGCACAGAGGTAGCTCCCCGTGCACCAGGGCTTTGCACCAGCCTGGGAAGGCAGGCCACCTGGCCCCTCCCAGGAACCAGAAACAGAGGCAGACAGCTCTTTTCCCACTTCTGATAGTTCCTCTACACTCAGCATTTGAAGCGCGGTCCACTGAAAATAGGATTTCAAAGCCCAACACCAAGGGACTGGGCACGGTTTCTTTAGTTTAGGCCAGTAACTTCTAAAAGCCTGAATTATTAACGTGTATACAACAAACCTGAACTCCAGAGTGGAACCCTACTTCCAAATGAACAGCATTATCCATAACAAAACTTGGGGTATTTTGTGGACCATGGGAAGCTAAGCAACGCATTAGGAAGTTTAGCGACACCAAAAACCAGACGGCTTCCTTGTCTGCAGACAGGAGAGAAGCTTCCTTCCCTGAGTCACCTTAACAGAACCACCAGTCTACGAAGGTGAACCCAGCTGAAACCTGGTCATCTCTGCTGGACATGGGTGACCAAGAACGTAGCGACAACTTACAGGACGAGAGGGCGGACAGGAGGGGTGGGTCTAGGCTGCCACATGGGACAAGGCCTTGCTGACAGTCCGTTTGCTGGGAGCAGCTGCCTGGAGGGGCTGCAGGGCTCCTCCCCAGGGCTTCAGAGGGGCCCCCGGTGGCCCAGCGCCCAGCGCCCAGCGCCCAGCACTGGGCCGGGCTGGCAGGCCTCACCCCTCTCTTTGGCCCTGGGACGCACTCGCCCTTTCCTGTAGCGCTCTCTTTCCCCAAGAGAATATTCAGGCCATTTTTATTATTTTTTTTTCTTTTTTCTCCACAAGTGAGAATTAAAAAACTAGCAATTTGGAATACTCCTAACTTTCACTGGCTGTTTTATATGACACCTCAAGTAACAAGAACGTAGATCTTAATTGTCATTTACACAATAGTCAAACCCATCTTAAACTTTGATGAATCCAAAGTATTAAAACTTAGCAATGATATATAAGAAAACTATTCTTGCCAAGCAAGGTTCAACTATCAGACTGTCAACCAATGTTAAAATTGCATGTAATCAAAGGTTATCTGCATTGAATTTAACAGGTCTTCATGTTTTCTACATACAACAAGGATTTTTAAAAATATACACGTTTTTAAACCAATTTACTCCCTTTTACAATCACACCATCAGTCTAACATTTAAAATATAAATCCAAACTGTCAACGAAAACAACAGTGGACCAAGTGACAGCATCATTTAAATCAAACAATAAGGCAAAAAAAAAAAAGGTCAGCATTGAAACTCAGTGAAGAAACACAGACTCATGGGAAATCTGCTCCAACTCCTAACGCGCTCACGCAGAGGGACCCCGCTGTGAAGCTGGACAACTCAGCTCTTCTCCTCTGCTCCCTGCGGAGCGCACGTCTTCAGCATTTTTACTGAGGTCTACACAGTGACTGGGTACACCAACCAGAGATCAGCATTAAACACACAGCCTATTCCAAAAGTGGCCTAGGTTCCTAGCAACTGCTTTGTGTGCTCCCTGAACTAGAAAATCGTTCCATCTTTTTAGGTGCAAAATTAAAACCAAGGGGCTTAAGGTCTACTCACACACATTGTGCACTGAATGTCACTGTTAAGACAGTAAGGTAGAAAAAAGGAACACAAGGTACAGTCACTCTCTCCAAACAATGCCAGTCATCACAAAGTGCTGCCATGACACGGATTTATTTTAACCAGGTTATGGAAAAAGAGTGAATTATCTGTCAGAATATGCATTAATTTCTTGGAGAGATTAACCATAAAATAGTAAATATATATTTATTTGAAGAATCTTTGGTAGCAACTGTTTCTTCCATATTATAGGAGTTTTGAAATTAAACATCAAAATCAATTTACTAATCAGCAAAGGAAAAATATTTTATGGCACTATTCTTTTGGTTTTCCTATAAAATACCCTTGAACCTTACTAGTAACTTGTACTACTCATGCACTTAAACAGAGTATCTGGTTTAACTGATGAACATACAAAATGCAAGACTAAAAGCAGAAAGAAATTAGACAGCAATGAGAATCAATGACAAAACATAACAATGACAACTGTTCTTAAGTAATTTATTTTTAAATTATAAGATTTACAATGCTTTGATTACTCAAAATAGCATACTGGAAATTAAACCCAATCAATAAACCAAAGGAGAAAGAAAACTTAGGTTTCTTGAATATCAGTACTTAAACCATTTTTATAAGTACCTGATGTCCACCCATGTCTTCTGTAGAAAGAATAGTAATTTCAAATACTTTGCTTGCAGGTTTAATTTCTCATTTTCAACTTTTAGGAACTTAATTTATTTCAAATCCTATTATACTTAGTGTTTATACTGCAACTGCAGCAAATCTCACATGTGCAATCAAATGTGGAACTGGGCAGCTCCTAGCTCTTAGCAGACGGGAATGATACAGCACTCAGTACAGCAGAGTACGTGTATTGACCGGAGCGTGGAGTTTAGCACTTAGTGCAGGGCTGGCACTGCTCTCCCTCTGAACGGAACCAGCTGAGCTTCCGAGCGGACCGGTTACTGCTGTGGATAGTAGGACTGCTGTGGGGGCTGAGGGAAGGGGTAGGAAGGCTGCTGGGGTCCTGGGAACGGAGCCTGTCCCGGGCTCTGGTGGTACACTGGAGGGTAGGGCATGTTATACTGGCCGTACGCGTAAGGATTATAGCCCATGGGCATGGGCATTTGGCAATACCTGAGGGGAGAAAAACAGAAAACACTGGATTGGTAAATCAAATACTAGGAAATGACACATTCCATAATTGCTGTAAAATCGGATTTTTTCCCAAGAAAGCGGTTTTCTCTGTTCTTCAATCTAGTCAGAACAGTGGAGAGAAAAAACTGCTTCAAGGTACTTATGAGAGAACAGCATTCCTATCTTGGCATTAATTAAAATGAAACAATACCAAGTGCTTAAAACTATCCAGAAAATAAAACTGCTTAAGGAAATAAAATTAAATATTCAGCTACTGAAAAAAGGAATAAAAACAGAGCAGCAAAATCAGCAATCTATAAACATATAGATTACCTGTAAGCCCCAATATCTACCATAATGCATATATCAATTATAAAGTTCCAATATTTGGAAAACAGATGTATTTATTTTGTAGAAGCTCAACACGCAATAAAAGGTAATCAAATGTATGGACTTCTAAGACTAAGGAATCACCACAGGGGCCAGTGTTGTGGCACAGTGGGTTAAGCTGCTGCTTACACCACCAGCGTCCCACACGGGACCACCAGCTCAAGGACAAGCAACTACGCCTCCAGCCCAGCGCCCCTGCCACCCACACGGGAGACCAAGACGGAGTTCCCGGCTCCATCCCTTCAGTTTGGTCTTAACCTAGCTGCTGTGGCCAGTTAGAGCGAGAATCAGTAGATGGACGCTCTCTTTCTCTGCTGCTCTTTCAAATAAATAAATAAACCTTTAAAATATGATCATAAAGAAAGCTTCCCTTTAAGAAAGCACATTCCAGGGCTGGTCTGTGGCATAGCTCCTGGCTCTGGCTTCCGGTCAGCTCAGCTCCAGCCATTGTGGCCATCTGAGGAGTGAACCAGCAGATGGAAGACCTCTCTCTCTTTCTCCCTTTCTCCGTCTGCAACTCTATCTCTCAAATAAATAAGTAAATCTTTAAAAAAAAAAAAAAAATAGAAGGCACATTCCATAGCTAAGATAAATTTCTGTTTACCAGAATTTAAATGCCAAAGTTTCAGAGTATAGATATGTAAATAAGGCCTTATCAGGCTTACCATGCTAAGCTCAGAAAAGGTAACCTTTTATCACTTAAATAAATGTGGCCAAGGAAACATACACTGAATTCCAAAAAGAAGAGATGTGCTTAACATGAACTCGACACACAAAATAAAAGCACAATTTTAAAAGCCTGGAGAATGGCTATTTACACAAATAAGTAACTATAACACTATTTTAACTTCTAATACACTGACAATGCAGCTTATGATACATCCATTTAAAGAGGCCATTAAGCAGGGGCTGGTGGTGTGCAGCAGGCTGACCACGCCTGTGATGCTGGCATCCCCTATCAGAGCGCCAGCTGGAGTCCACCTGCCCTGCTCCTGGTCCAGGTCCCTGCCGTGGCCTGGGAGAGCGGCAGAACACGACCCAAGTGCTTGGGCCCCTGCACCCGCGTGGGAGACCCGGACCCAGCCCAGCCCAGCCCTGGCTGTGGCAGCCATCTGGAGAGTGAACCAGCGGATGGAAGATCTTACTCCTCCCTGCACCCCACCCCTAATTCGACCCCCTGCCCTGTCACTCTGCCTTTCAAATAAACAAAATAAATCCTGAGAGAAAGAGAGAGAGGCTAGCCAGGAACAGAAACATTACCCGACCCACTGGGAGAGACAGCACTGCAGCCTTACCCAGGGTATCCTGGATAGGTGGGGTATGGTGGGCCCTGGGCCTGTGGAGGAGGGGCCGAGCCAGGGGTTTGAGATGGAGCAGGTACTGGGGTTCCAGTTCCCACAGGAGCCGGAGCAGAGGCAGAAGGAGTTCTATTTGCTGGAAGCACAGGAGGTGGAGGCCGGGCAGGGGGCTGGGGCTTTGTAGGCTGCAAGAGAAAGCACTGATTACAAAATGTTTTCCTGTTTGGCTCAAAAATGCCATTAATTAACAGAAATAAAGGCATGTAAGAAATTCTAGAATCCCCCATTCCTACAACTGAATGTTGCAATATTACTCTGGAAACCCACCATGGCAGCACTTTGTGCACTCTCCATTGCCTCTGCTCACGTTCTGCTATCTAGTATTCAATCACTGACCTTGTCCACCACTGGCTAGACATCTGAAGGGAGGGAAGCAGAGAGAGGCCTGCCTTATGACTGCAACCTCCTCCCAGTCCCCCAATCTATAGGAAAATGTTAATAAAATAGTAAGAGCAAACAATCAAATACCAAAAAAATTCACTATTAGCATTGTGCCACACAGGCTTGATTCACAGCTACACCCATATATTTATCTGCCTCTACACTTGCAGAACCATTTGAAAGTGAGCTGCAGCTGGCGCCGCGGCTCACCAGGCTAATCCTCTGCCTTTCGGCGCCAGCACACCAGGTTCTAGTCCCGGTCGGGGCGCCGGATTCTGTCCCGGTTGCCCCTCTTCCAGGCCAGCCCTCTGCTGTGGCCAGGGAGTACAGTGGAGGATGGCCCAAGTGCTTGGGCCCTGCACCCCATGGGAGACCAGGAGAAGCACCTGGCTCCTGCCTTCGGATCAGCGCTGTGCACCGGCCGTGGCGGCCATTGGAGGGTAAACCAACGGCAAAGGAAGACCTTTCTCCCTGTCTCTCTCTCTGTCCACTCTGCCTGTCAAAAAAAAAAAAAAAAAAAAGTGAGCTGCAGACTTTGTCATGCCATGTATCATGTATAAAGACTTTGGCATTCAGGTTCTAACAGGGATATTTCAACATAATCACAATACCATTGGTAGTCTAAGAAAACTAACAATTATTCCACTCAAGATTCAGTTGTCCCTTTGTATCACACAAAAGTCCCAATATTTGTTTTTATGAACCAAAATCAAGATTTATATTGAAATTGAATATAATGGACCTTTCAGTTCTTTTCATCTCAGATACACATCCCCCTTATCAGTGACATCCACTTTCAGAAAAGGCGGACCGAGAGCCACGTAAAGCTTCCATGCTCGGTATTTCTCCAATGATTTCCTAACGGCACAGCTTGATTCCTTATTCCATCACTGTGTTATTACAAAGATACAGACTCTAAAGGCTTGACTAGCCTCAGATCAAGCATTTTTGGCAAGAATTCCTAAGTGATTTGTGGTGTATAAACTGCAGAACATCCGAAGGTTCGTCCCTCCCCGTGAAAGCCTGCTTTAGCCTCGTGTGACACCACCACCTGGCCATGCTCTGCTGACTCACCGGCATGGTCCTCGGGGCTGGGGTCGGAGCAGCTGGCGCGTGTCCCCCTGCTGGAGAGGACTGATAGGCAGGCGTAGGGATTGAAGGAGCACTAGGTTCTCGGGCAATGCTCTGCTGCAAGTCCCTGATTAAAGACAGAGTTATGTTAGAAATTAACAGGAACTTTTAACAACACATATAAAATTCCAGGTCTTTTTCTTGTTTTTCTTTTCTTCGTACTTACAAGATCGTAAACAGACCCCAGAAAATAATGGTATTTAAAATATACAGCACTCCTATTCTCAATTAAAACTGCAATCTTCCTTCCTACTCTTTAATAAAATGAAGTTCTATCTTCTGAAGACTACAAAACAGGAAATGTTTCTAGAGATCACAGTTAAAGCTAGAGTAAGGAACATATCAAACTGGGTAAGCAATCCTAGAAGAATGCCCACTGTTTTTTTGTTTTGTTTTGTTTTTAATTTTAATTTAAGAGAGAGAGCACCAAGAGAGACTGAGAAATCCACTGGTTCGTTCCCCAGATGTTTACAGACCAGAGTCAGGCTGGAGCCCAGAGCCGACAACTCAGTCCAGGTCTCTTATGTGGGTGGCACGAGCCCAACCACTTGAGCCATCACTGCTTCCCCCCAGGGGCTGCACTATCAGGAAGCTGGAGTTAAGAACCAGGACTGGGCATCACACCCAGGCACTTACGCAAATTTCTAGATGAAAATTTTCTGAAAACATTCAAAGAAACGTGGCACTGAGATAGTCTTATATTAAAAGATTACTCATAATCTGTTACTAAGAAAAATTCACAATATATCATTGAAAAGACAATTCAACATTAGAAAAAATTTAATTCTTCTCTAACAATAAATTGGAATTTATCCCAAAAATCTTACCAAACAACACCCCAGGTAAAATACACTCTCTCTTATACAGGATGTTGATCAACTTCCCAGTGCACTGATTAATGTACACAGAGCAGTGAATGTAACATATCCCAGAATGCCCGCAGGAGTGCCTACTGCTCTGACCCAACAGTTAACAGCAGTCCCCCTCATCTCCCACCCCACACCTTCACTGTCAAAGAAAGCCCCAGCTGGAAGATAAGTCGCTCCAAACACAAAGAAAATATACGATCAAAAAAACTCCTCTTAATGCAGGAATTTCCGTATACAGCTACAAAATCATCTGGTCTGGCCCTGCCAAGGCAACCATAGGTGGGACTTGAATAAATAAATTCAATAAATCTACTGCAGGCTAATTTTCAAGCTGATCATTTCGTATGGCTCATGAAAGTGTTATACATATCAAAATGACCTTTGGCAGAAAAAAGGTTCCCCACCCATGACAACTTCTTAAACAGGAAGTTTCTAATCAATATTTAAGGTCTAAAAGGCTAGATTTGAGATATCTAAGAAATACATGTATATTATGCAATACCCTTACTTTTCCTCTGATAAACTCCAGGGAAGCTAGCAGTAAGTGGTACACTTAGAGGGCAAATGAGAATTTCCTAGCCACAAATTACTGATAAAAATCAAAGCTATTAAATCCTAAGACCAATAACATAAAACAAGGAAAAAGTACATGAAATAAAATGCCACTAATTTCCCTACACCCGCCAACCCCTGATACTGACAGCAGTCCTTAAATCAGTGAGAGCAGGTAGGGGCAGGCACTGCGGCGCCCCGCGTTCCGCCAACACTCAGGATCCCCAACCCCTGCTGAAAGGCAGAGTGACAGCAATCACAGCACAGCACCTCTGCTTCTCATTCAGGTTCCTCCTACAGCACCCCGGGAGGCAGCAGATGATGGCTCAAGTGCTTGGGCTCCTCTCACCCTTGCTGAAGACCCAGATGGGGTTACAGGTCCCTGGCATGGGCCTGACCCAGCCCTGGCTATCACAGACATCCTGGGAATGAACCAACAGACGAAAGGTATCTCCATTTCTCTCCCTCTACCTTTCAAGTAGATGAAAAATAAACATTAAGAAATAAAGTAAAGCTCAGAGAAAAACATTCATTCTTTTTGTACTATTTAAAGAGATTTCAACAGTAACAGAATATAAAAATCAAAGCTTCTAGCTAGTAAGCATATAAAGAGGACCTCTCATCACAAGGGAAAAATTCAAATCATAATGAGTTAACACTACACACCTACCAGACAAGCTAAGAAAAGTATGTGGTACAACCACAAGTCTTATACATTGTCAATAAGGAAACTGGTAGGAGCTGGTGCCTCCATCTACAAGTGCTGGTTCAAGTCCTGGCCACTCCACTTCCAATCCAGCTCGCTGCTAATGTGCCTGAGAAAGCAGCAGAAGATGGCTCAAATCCTTGGGCCCTTGCACCACGTGGGAGATATGGAAGAAGCTCCTGGCTCCTGGCTTCAGCTTGGCCCAGCCCTAGCCATTGTGGCCATTTGGCGCGTGAACCAGTGGATGGAAGGTCTCTCAATCTCTGTCTCTCTCTTTATTCTATTTCTGCCTTTCAAATAAATAAATAAATCGGGGGTGGGGGGGCGCCGCTGTAGTGTAGTAGGTTAAGCCTCCACTTGCAGAGCCAACATCCCACATGGGCACCAGTTAAAATCCCAGCTGCTTCACTTCTGATCCAGCTCCCTGCTAATGCACCTGGGAAGGTAGCAGAAGATGGCCCAAATACTTGGGCCCTTGCACCCATGTGGGAAACCTGGAAGAAGCTCCTGGCTCCTGGGTTGTGGCCATTTGAGGAGCCAGGCAGGGGACAGATCTCTCTGTCTTACTCTCTATATATAACTTTGTCTTTCAAATAAATGAATAAATTTTAAAAATATACAAAGAGAAATTTATAAATGAAATATTTACTGTGTTTTCACACTAAGCCTCAGAAATCCAGTATGTATTTTATACTTATAGTACAACTCAATTCGGTCAATTCAGACTAGTGATATTTCAGGTGGGTGCTTAACAGCAGGGGCCCAAGCACCTGGGCCGTCCTCTGCTGCTTTCCCAGGCACATCAGCAGGGAGCTGGACCGGAAGTGCAGCAGCCGGCACTCCAACGAGGGCTACATAGGATGCCAGCGTTGCAGACAGTGGCTTTACCACTACACCACAACACCAGCTCCCTTTGATTATATTCTGAAATAATATTTTGTACATACCTGGCTAAACAAGATATTGCTGAAAATAATTTAACTTTTTAAATGTGGCTACTGGAAATTTTACAATTTCAAACTGTCACTGAATATTATTTCACCATACAGATATATTTATTTAATCAGCCCTGAATATTCAATTTATTGCTATTCTTTTACTGTTACCAGTAGTATGCTGTATTTTACAACATTCATGCCAGCAGTATTTATAATAGGCCCAAACTAGAAACTGCTCAAGGATTCAACAGCAGAATGAATTTTTTTCTTTTAAAGATTTATTTATTTACTTGAAAGGCAGAGTTACAGAGGCAGAGGCAGAGAGAGAGAGGTCTTCCATCCGTTGGTTTACACCCCAGATGGCCGCAATGGCTGGAGTTGCGCCAATACGAAGTCAGGAGCCAGGAGCTTCGGGGTCTCCTATGCAGGTGCAGGGGCCCAAGCACTTGAGCCATCTTCTACTGCTTTCCCAGGCCACAGCAGAGAGCTGGATCAGAAGTGGAGAAGCCAAGACTTGCACCGGTGCCCATATGGGATGCCAGCACTGCAGGCAGCGGCTTTACCCACTACACTAAAGCACAGGCCCCCAGAATTTTTCATTCACATGATGAAATTTGTAAGAAATGAGACTACAGATACATACAACTGTAAGGAAGAATTTCACAAACATAACGTTGAATGAAAACGAGCCACAGAAGAAATCTAACATTGAATATATGATTCACTGTCAATACAGTATAATAGGAGAACAAAGCAATCTATGTTCTTAAAGGTTAGAACAGTGGTTGTTCTGGGGCAGAGGGTAATGACAGGGTGTGAGCATGAGCAATGCTTCCAGAGTGCTGAGATTTTCATGTACTGATCGAAGTACAGCCTACCTAGTGTACTCAAGTTCATGAATAACAAACAGGATGCACACTTACGTGGACTTCTCTTTTGCACGTTACAGTCAATAAAACAAGTTCAAAGAATTCAGGCCCTGAGGTGTTTTTTTTTTTTGGACAGGCAGCGTGGACGGTGAGAGAGAGAGACAGAGAAAAAGGTCTTCCTTTTGCCTTTGGTTCACCCTCCAATGGCCGCTGCGGCCGGTGCGCTGCGGCCGGCGCATCACACTGATCGGAAGCCAGGAGCCAGGTACTTATCCTGGTCTCCCATGGGGTGCAAGGCCCAAGCACTTGGGCCATCCTCCACTGCACTCCTGGGCCACAGCAGAGAGCTGGTCAGGCCCTGAGTATTAACAATGATTTTAACAAAATAAACCACCAGATTTTTAAAAGCCCCTTTTAGTAAATAGTCTATTTTTCTATCATTTACCTACCTTTCAGTCACTGAGATGAAAATATGTGACAAGTTTATGCTGTCTTAGAACTAATTTTGTTTATAGTACGAATACAGAAAAACACATGTGATAAGCAATGAGCCTAATTTTCAAATCTGAGACCTGAAACATGAAATACTTGAAAATGAGAAAATTTAAATATTTCTTCCAAAGAATATCTAGAGATATAAGCACATTTAAATGCTTATTTTTATTTTCCGTCTTCACACATAATGCATTTGTTCTATATCTTTTTCTTTTGATTGTAACTATTCAGAGATCTTTCTTTCCATATCAGCAAACTGAAAACATCTCTTTTTTAAAACCAGGTGCACAGTACTCCACTGTACAGTTCCTTGGTTGACTTATTCACCAGCAATGAACACAACTTGATTCTTTCATTGCTATAAGCAATACAAAAATGAATAAGCTCATCAATATGTCACATCTAGCACATGCTAATTTCTTCAAAATTGATTCCCAAAAACAGAACAGGCAGATTAAAGGACACTTCACTTTGTAATATATTATCCTTCTCAGTCGGTGAAACCGCTCTATGCAAGGATTAGACCAATCTCTACTCTCAGTGCAAGGAATGGCATCTACTCCCTGGCCTGTGTCGACAAGGCACAAAGCAACAAATCTCCAGGTCTCTGCCCATAAGGAAAAGGCTATTTCAGAGTA